CTTCTTAATTTTTTAAAACCCTATTAATCCCAATGCTATATGGTTTACAACAACGGCCGAAGAGCTAGAGTTGAGGTTACGGGTTAAGGCAGATTTATTAATTTTGATTCAGATTATGTATTGTGTTAAAAATTTACGTATTAAATGGGTAAAAATTATTAATTTAAAATGAAAGGAGGTAGCATCTAAGTGAAAGGACGTACGGTGTCGCATTTTCAGAAACGGCCTCTATATTTGTATTAGGAGTATACTTTCTCCGGTGTACTTTAATTGATTTTTTGGCCTTTTTTGTGGTCCATAATATTTGATTTGTTCAGATATCAAGAAGGAATTAATTTCTTTTTCTAAAAGTTATCTTCGAGATAAAGAGTTTGGGAGTATTTGTTGTATTTTTGCTTAATAAATAAAAATTAATATAATTAATTTTATTATTAATTATTGCTAAAAAATGAAATCTTTAATATATATGAAATCAACCAAAAATCAATTATTGTACTATTTCTTTAAAGGATTTTTTTATTCCTATACACTATTTGAAACTTTATTACCCTTGATATCCATGTTTAGTTAATTACCCGACATAAATAAATTTTGTTTACAAAATATATACAATCCACCTTAAAAGACTCTCTATCCATTATTTGTGCCTTCAATCAAGAGATATAGTTACACCCTTTTCCTTTTTTCTCGCCTCTTTCCTCTTTTCTCTCCTGATTTTCCACCCACACTCCAAATCTTCATAGAGTTAAAAACTAAGTTAAGTATCTTCGTTTGTTGTTTTCCATTGTTAATTTTTTAATATCCTTTTTTATCCCCTTAAGGTCAACATAGGAACTTCGGTTAGTAATTGGTATATAAAATTTAATTATAGTAAAACTTGAGTAGAAAGGATAATATAGTTTCATATACTCCCTCCGGTCTAAAATAAGTGATTTTTTGAATGTTTTCACACAGATTAAGAAATTCACCTTTTAGCATTAAATAGCAATAGAATTGACCATATTAACCTTTACTATCTCACATAAACACTCCTAACACATATTCCAACACTATTTACTCCAAGGACAATGTAGGAAAAAAATAATTAATTCATTCTTGAAATTTGGAAAAATCACATATTTTGGACCACAAAAAAAGGACCAAAAAATCATAGTATACAGGAAAGAGTATATTTCATACACCGACAACCCACGTGCATTTTAGTTTTCTTCACCATGTCAGTAATACTTGTTGTCCTCATTATTGTTTTTGGATATCTTACAGTTGGATACGTGTTTTCTTTACCACTGTTGGTTTTATTTTAAATAAGCGTAATAATTTAACTTTTTCTAAATATGATAGTGTTTGGTTGGCTCTGAATTTTAAGAAAATAAAAAAGAAACACTGTTGACGTATCAGTACCTTTAGAATACTATGATTAGGGGTGGGTATTCGGTACTTCGGTTCGGTATTTAATAATTTCAGTTCGGTATTTCGGTATTCGGTTTATCAATTGTGTATACCAAATACCATACCAAAATATTTCGATACGGTTCGGTATTTCTTATTTTGGTTCGGTACGGTTTCGGTTTAATAATCGCTGAATAATCAATGCTAACGCCTAACAGTGCACATGCACAATTGAAACTTTCACTTGTAATAAACTAATAACAGTGCACATGCATATACTGAATTATATTCTGCCAAACACATATAACGCCAGTGCACTGTACACAACTCCAAAGTTTGCCAAATTCTGCCCAACTCCAAAGCTGAAAGAATCAAATTGCATCTGTACACAACTACACATTACAACAGTCTTAACAGATGCAACAGTCAACAGATGCAGCATTCTTAACATAATTAACAGTGAAACAGATGCAGCAGATGCAACAAAATTAACTTAACAGTGCAACAGTTTTAACACTTAATAGTTCACACTTAAACACAGTGCAACAAAAACAGTATTAACACTTAAACACAGTGTTAATACTTAACACTTAAACACAACAGTCTTAACAGAGGGCATCCCTCAACAAAAACAGTCTTTGGATGCTTAATATGATTCCTTAAACCAGTTGTTCCATTCCTCTTTGGATGAACATTATAGACTTGACCACAATGCTTGAACCTAAAAAAAATATAAATCATAAGTTAGAATATAATATTTTGATGATAACAAAACAAAACTACAAAAGTATTAAGTATATCACCAAACAAATAGAGTATTAAACTTACCACTCAAGATGCAAGTTGCAACTACATATCAAACAATGCTAGTAGTGCTTCCATTATTTTCCATATCTATAGATAATTCGACCAAATATGTCATACAAATGAAAAAGCATGATATATTATTTTGAACTAAAATACAC